TAAATACGAATAGCAAATTTGCTCCTGACTACTTACTGCGCCCTATGCCATATGTAGACGGCTGACCAGGAGCAAATGTGCTCCTGGTCCGCAGGGTGCAGGAGATAGCTCCCTGCCCCCAGGAACTGCCTGCTGCTAGGGAGGGCTCTGCCACGGGAGCCCAGACAGGGATGATACCCCCCTGGCCTGGCAACAGAATGCTCCCAGCCCCTGCTTCAGAATCGCAATCAGGGAGTGGGAAATGAGACATTCAGCCTGACTTCAGAGTAAGAATTCTGAATAAGTATCTCCCAGCCTGGGCCCTGTGATGGTGGAAGTTGGGTTGGACAATTAGAATCTCCCATCCCTGGCCTCACGATCATGGAGCAGGGGCTGGGAGCTCCATGCTGCCAGGACAAGGGGACATTGTCCTCACTTGGGCTCTAGTGGCGGAGCCTGCCCTGGCAGCAGGCAGCTCCTGAAGGCAGGGAGCAATGTCCCAGCCCCCACCAGGAGCCAGCTGTTTCCTGGCCCTGTGCTCCCTGCTAGATCCTTCTCTAGCAAACAGGGGGAGCCTAGAGCTCTCCCTAGCAACTGCAGGGGGCCAGTGCATGGCTGGTGGGGGTGGGAGCAGACTGCTGCCATGAGAAGCAAATCTGCTCTCTTGTCCTTGCACTTGTAGATACCTGCCCAGGGTGAGTTTACTCTACAGAAAATTACTGTCAAGTAAACCCACCCTGGAGCATTTGCACTTGTAGATGTGCCCACTGTGTACATCAGTGATTATCATTCAAGGTGCCGCAGCACCCTGGGGAGCCTTGAGATCCTTTCAAGAGTGTCACAGTGTGCTACATAATGTTACCACTGCTAAGTGTGGAAACATGATTCACAAAATAAACCCAGATATTTAAAATAGGAATCCATAGTGTTAAAAACATTTTGACTTGTTGAGATCTTTCTGACTTCTTTGCAACAGAAGAACTGTTTTATTATTTTTCTGTAGTCAAAAAATAGTGAAAACTGAGAGCTGGCGTTTTCCCAGTGGTGCCTTGAGTCTTCTGAGAAGTGCCTCAAGTCTAAAAAAATGTTGAGAACCACAGCTGTATTATCTTATCTGGCAGTAGATAAAAGCTAAACTATGGTAGTTTAGCACTCAGTGAAAAAAGCAAATAGTTCACATAACCTATGGCTCATGGCTGAAGCTTTTGCTTCCAAACTTAGCTTTTCTAGAATGCGCTGAGATGTGAAAAGCAAGACACTTAACAGTAATTTTAAAATTCAGTTGTCAGTCTTGTACTTACACATTAGAGCTTTACTAATCCTTCTTTTCATTTATTTCCCAATATAAACATATTGCAATCAAATTATATTTCATTTTTTGAGACCCAGAATGGATCCTATGCTTAAAAATCATCAAAATACATATCTGTGGGAGAACATGATTAAGATTGCCTCTGTCAAGAGGCAACCTTAAATGGTGATTCATGCCATTTCTTGATTCATGAAAATGTAATCATGCAATCTTAATTGTGGTTAGTTTACAGAATTATAATTTAAGTTCAATACCATGCACACTGTTCCTCATTCAGCAGTCCATGCTTATTCATTATTTACAGATCTACTTGAGTTGTGGCAAGTGAAAGAGATTTCCATGGGCCGCTCATAGAGCTGATTTCATGGCTTTTTCATGGTAAGCCAGCCCCTCACTGCTAACTGGCTTAGAGGGTTTGTGGCCCCATCCCTTGCTGGTGATTGTCCAACATGGCTGTCCATTATGGGGCCCCATCCCGCATCGCTGATTGGCCAAGAGGGGTGAGGCCATGCAATGTGCAGCCCTCCGAGCCATCAGTGGCAAAGGGTGTGGCTGCCACCTTGGCTGCTCCCCTTCATGCCAGCATCTTCCCCCCTCCCTGCCACCCTGGTGGGCTGAAAGGCTGGGCTGCAGCTGCCATGAGGACCACTGGCTCCTGCTGGGGAGCCAGCATTTTATTTTTAGTAAGGTTTTTGTTTTGTTTTGTTTTTTGATTTTGCAGATTTTACAGACAATGCTCAATTTCACAGTTTCTGCAAAATCATGAATTAAGTAGGTTCCTACATATAAGCATAAGTCCAACTGCTTTCCATGGAACTTAACAGAACTTAAGCATGTGCTCAAGTGCTTTGCCAATTAAAGGCAGACTTAAAAACAAATTTAAATTGTTTACTGAACTTGGACCATTAGCATAATTGTTGTGGAACTGGATCCTAATGGGGTTGAATGGTGCAGAACTGAAAATCATCCCCATGATGACCTTGTGTTCAGAACAGACATTTTAAATGTAACAGGAAAGCTATTAACATTTTAGCTTAGAAGGTTTGATTATAAGCTCACTTACACAGAGGTAGACTGGGAATAACTCCATTGAAATATGCAGAGCTATGCAGCTATGAAAGATAACACAAGTGTGAAGAGAATCAGGCAAACTGTGTGGTGCTAGACTGTAGTTTTTACTCAAACTCAATTTCACTTGCTCTCTTTTTATGTCAATTAAAATTGTGCTCCTTTAAATGATTATCTCAAGCTTTAATTTGTTTGTATTTTTCATTACTTTTGAATAAAAATAATTCACAAGTCAATGTCGATAAATTTTTAAATTTATGAGTAATTTGCTGTGCTTTGCATCATAATATTGATGTTGAAAATGTTGGTTTTAAGCAAGTATCTTCAAAACATGAATAAGCCTTTAACCAGTCTAAAATACTATATGGATATTTTTCACATTACAACAGTTAAAATAAAATTATTAAAGAAACCCATGCTGGTTTATGAAAGGTGGAATAGGATTAAAATCAGAAAGATATTGATAAATTTTAACATGCACAAATAGGTAGAGAAGGAGTACTGTATTAAAGTAAGTTTTTTAGACATAAATCTTTGCCTTACTCTGTTTGAACTGCAAATTCAAAATGTTCATTCAAAATCCATCTCAGGTTCTTTTTTAATTTGGGACTGTGCATTTAAAAACCCAAATTAGGATAAATTATGTCATCTCAGCATAACAACTGTTACTATTACTGCTACTTATCAATATTCCTCTTTACTGGTTTTCACTATATGGCTCTAAAGTCTTGTAATGAATGCAAGACTGCACCGCAAGCATACAATCATGTTATTTTCAACGTCAGCAGTCTGTTTAATAAGACAGTAATGAATTAGTTCGCAAATCTTTCCAATATTTGAAAAGGGCAAGGAAGGTTGTTTATTACAATGAGTCAGAAGGAAAAGGGTTTACTTCATAATTAACTGGCTTCTATTTAAGAATCTTTCTTAGAAACAGCAAAAACTGAGATTTTTGTTCTCTCTTTTGCAATAGTACATAATTTACTGGGTAAAGGTTACACATTGATAAATGCTGAACTGCTAATTCAGCAATTGATTCAAGAAAATATAGAAAAAAAATTATGATCCTCTCTCTTTGGGCTCTATTCATTTTTGTATAAGTAAAGGCATCATTCATCTATTCCATTTGCAGTTAAGAATAATTTTAAAATATTTTCTAAATCTAAAACTTTTCTTTTTTTTCTTTCACAGACAGTTATGTATGAAAATCTAACACTATTAAAATCATTTTAACAGTCAAAGAAACAGCCAGGTAAAATTTTTTAAGTGACTATTTTGCAGAACAAGTGGGTAACCTCTTCTTACATTCCTATTAAGTATGTAATGTATACTGAAATGTATGAGTAAATTAGACCTTAAACCACTCTAAATATCCTTGATATAGTATTTCATATACATATCATCTAACCTTAAGCAAATACCTATTTTTTAACTACACCTTCACAGTGTTTTAATTTTATCAGAATTAAGATTAGTGTACTTTCAATTATTAACCACAACATGCTTGCATTATTGATAGAAATAGTATATTTCTTATTAAACTTTATCTAGTTATCTTGTACAATGCTGTACCAAGAGCTAGTCAAGTCCTATATGTGACTCTGGGTCAAAGCTCCTTGGAAGTGGTCAGATTGTTTAACTTTGCTAAAGTGGCAAAATTCCAGTTACTGGTTTGGGTTGTATTCAAAGGCAAAAAGCTGTGATAAAAAAAATTCTAGTCAGTCTGGAACTATGAAAGTTGTAATTTCAGATCAGTTAATTTAATGAGGCCCTTACTATAATATGTGAGATTTGCTAGACATGTATCTCATGATGCTTCAAGGAATAATGTACAACAGGGGTTGTCAACAGGGGGTATGTGTACCTCTGGGGGTACTTGGGAAGGCCCCACGGGGTAAGCAGCAGCAGCGCAGAGAAGAGGGGGTCAGGGCTGCCAGCACTTTGTGTTGCTTGTGCTGCCGCCGGCACTTTTGTTTTCACCAGCACTGTGCACTGCCAGCATTTCCAGTTTCGTCTACCCCCCGACTCACTGATTGGATACCAGGCCCCCTCCCCCTCTGCTTACTGGGGTCTCCCTGCTTCTCGACTGGCCACCAGGCGTACATCAACCAAAAAAGGTTGAAAACTTCTGCTGTACAACATCATGTACCTTCAGTGCCCTCCTGCCTCAGCCATGAGCCCCAGCCATGTTCTGGGAACCAGCAGGTGAGTTAAGAAGGAAGTGAATCTTCACAGGTCAATTACAGGCCTGTTCAATTATTGGTTTCTTGTGGGTGCCAATTAATGTGAATTTTAGTTACATTAATACCAACTGAATTGGATTGAAAGAGTGACTGTCAGCTCACTCACTACACATGGGACAACAAGCAGTGACATCATCTTTCAGTCAAAAGATGATGGCTGCAATTCAGAAAACATTTTGAGTTTTGTATTACAGGGAATGGGGACTACTCACATGGATGTGTATGATTAAACGTGTGTTTTTGCAAGATTAAAACCTTGAACTAGTTTAAAATTGGTGTCCTGGAAACAAAATGCTATGAATCAATTAATCAATTTGTAATTAGCAAGTACATTAATTAATTGCAATTAGTAAGTTAACTACACACAATTTTGGAAAGCAATCAGTTAAACACTTTACCTTCAGCTTGTGGTTTAAGTGCTACGAAAGAGTCAGGCAGTAAAAAATTGATTTCAGTGGCATCTTCTTTCCAGTCATTTTTCATAAGCAGATACGCTTCTTCTATGTCAGTCTGTGAATAGGGATTTGAACTTGGAACAACTTCTAGAAGTTCATTATTAATATAGGGCTTGGTGTCATAAACTGGTTTCCTGAAAAAAAAAGTTATTTTTTCAGTGTGTTCTGATACTTACACAGTTCTTTGACAACAGATGTATGTAATATAAACCACTGCATGCTATCTTGACCCCCCATATACTAAATCTCATCATTATGCAGTAGTTTATCTTGTTAAAAGAATTGTTGTAACACTGAAAGTGAACATCTCTTCCTGTGACCAGAAGAATAAGATGAGGGCAAGAGGGGAATGCAGGGGAGGGATTGTGCTGCACACACAGACTGGAAGAGAGGGGTGCTGAGAGTGGGGAAGGGAGGAGCTTCTTACTTAATTGGACTTAAAAGTCCCCCACCCTCTGCTTCCACAGCATGATCTGCCTGCAAAGGCACCCCCTTTCTAAAATCCTGGGTCCACACATCTATACAGTCTTTCATGAAATGTTATTCTATAACTAGATAAATGAATTAATACTTCTGAATATATTGTTATATTCCAAACGTCTCACAAACTGAATATATATTTATTCTGTGATTTCACCAAAATTCCAACTGACTTAGATATATTTTGTCTTCTACATGGCTTACTCAGTTCTCAAATCTTTTATTAGTGGTAAACTAATATATGTATAGCTAATATATTAAAATATGAGTAAACATTACTTATATATTAGCTTACCACTATAGCTTGTGGGTGCCAATCAAACATTAGTTAACCTTCATGATGCCTACGTGAGGTGATGGGATATTATTACTTCAATTTTACATACAGGAACTGAAGCAGAAAGAGTCTGAGGTAAAAAATGTCTTCTAATTTTGGGTGGCTAATTTGAGAAGTCTGATTTTTTTCAGATAACTTACTTTTACATCACATGGTATATCCAAAGTCTAACTCCTACATTGCATGTTGTTGGCACAGAACTGACATTTGTGACATGTGGCTATTGGAGAACTGAAGCTGTTGTGACGTGTGGACCTCTATGGAAGCATCCAGATGAGTATGCACAGTTGCTTCCCCAGGGCCAATTAGCAGTGGCACCTTTGCTGTGTGCAGCAAGTTGCCCCAGATCAGCCCCGGGTGGTAACAGCCTTACCTGAGGTCCTGGGAACTTTCTGGGACTCTAACGGCAGCAATTCGGGTGCATGGAGCCTGCCCGGCAACTAGAGTACGGCTTTTGCTGGCCAGACTCTGGTTTTGGGTGGTGTGTGCTGCTGCCAGGTTTGCCACCCTTTTTTCCACAAACTTTTTTTGATAGTGGAATCTCCCATATTGCCTCTCAACTCCGTGTTCTTGGGGAACCCTGACACAGGACGCAGCCTGTCTGACTCACAAAGATTTCCCCCCCACCCCTCCTCTACCTGAATAAGAACTGATTATGAAAGACAGTGAACATGCAGTGGGACACGCACCTAAAACCCTACAGATAAGGGTGGCGAGAGTGAAACAACTGCCCTAGGTCTCATTTGCATGCAAGATGGAACTAGATGACAATTTATTTACATGGAAGATGGAGAACAGAACGCCCGAAGCAAAGACTGCAGTGAATTCTGGAATCAGAGAAGCAGGAGAGCACTGCACGATGGGGAATCTGTGCTCTAAATGCTAATCAACCCACATTTACACACACTCAGCTAAGCATTTATCAGACCAATTCTAATCTGGATTTACAAAGGACTCCCCCCCCCCATCTAAGCAGAAGTAAAAGTTTAATAGGCATCTTGGGCTGTACATTCCCCAGTCCCACTGTGGGAGTCCTACTTAAACCTGATTGACTAAAACTCTGTTGCCGGGTTGGGGAATGCTGAGGCAAAGAGACCGAGTCAGAGCAGGTATAGGCAACATTTGAACAAAGGTAAAGGGTTCATCACAGCATCCAGCCTGTTGGAGCCCTGACCACAAGTGTTGTCATACTTTTTCTGGGATGACTGATGGAAGTCCTCCCCACAAAAGTTATGAAAAGTCATGCTAAGCTGAGGCTTGTTCACAACAGGTAAAAATCCAAAACCCTGATGCTGCAAGCTATCTATTGTTTCTGAAGAAACCATGAGGTATCCCCCACCCAGTATATCTGCTATCCATAGGAATTTAAAGCTGGCTCCCAAGTGTCTGGTTACTCCTTAACCTTAAGTTTTTCCTGGTTATTAATCAGTTTCTTGAGATGTTCCAAACCAGATAACCTCTTGTCAACAGAAAAGACAATTATTTACACTATTAAGAATGCTTTCAAGAGGCTGAACTGAGGGTATAAAAATATGTAAAAAAAAGCAGCAAATGTGTGCTTCAAGAGGAGAAATCTCCCTGACACCATCCGCTGTTGTTCTCTAAAAGCTGAAAGAAACAGATCATCTCCCTTCAAGGATTGTGTTAAGAACT